AGCGTTTCCCTGCACTTGGACTGTTCCTTTCATCTTATCTTGCTCTTTCCGGCAACATGTGTTTGTGCCTGTCAACGTGTTGTCTTGTTCGCAACATGTCTACGTCACTATGTGCACGTCATTCCGTCATGCCATTTCTCCCGACAACTTGTTTGCATAGGTGTCATAGAGGCGATGTTGATGTGGAACTTTCTCGATTTATGCTCTTTTTGGCAACATGTGTTTGTGCCCGTCAAAGTGTTATCTTGTTCGCAACATGTCTGCGTCACTGCGTGCACGTCATAGCGTCATGTCGTTTCTCGCGACAACTTGTTTGCATAGGTGTCATAGAGGCGATGCTGATGTGGCACTTTCTCGATTTATGCGTGTCATCCTTGCGCAGGGGACATGCGCTAATGTGGCACTTTCAACTCTACCATCACTACTTCTCACTCCCCAACTTCTGTTTCCGTAATACACGTTATATCACGTCAGCATCCGAGTCACCTCCCACATTCCCAGAAATTAGGGTAAACAAGGTGATTGCTCTGATGCCAAAGTGCTAAAACACCAGTACTTCCTAAAGTTGTGGCCGTTAACCTGCCAACCACGGGATAAACGAACGGACAGCACGGGGAGCGCCCAGATTCATCGGACTGGAAATGTTTCCACTCGAACTTTTCCCGTGGGCGATGTATGGCCGAAGTACTGGCGGTTTAAGAAMCCAATTCTCAATGCTCACCGTCACAACACATACGTAGAGGTTGTTATAACTAGACTAAAAGTTTCCCAAAATACACCCTCCTTCACCGTCTCACCACATGCATACACTTCGCAGGAGATTCTCGGAAAGCAAGAAGATCAAGGAGGAAACAAAGAAAACATAGCAGAGAGAAGAATAATAAGTTCATTACTAATCCTAAATTGCTATGTCCATCTCCTCCCCCTTCTACTATGGTACTTCTCCTCCAACTACGCTCTCTCTCTCTCTCTCTCTCTCTCNCTCTCTCTCTCTCTCTCTCTCTCTCTCTCTCTCTCTCTCTCTCTCTCTCTTTCTCTCTCTCTCTCTCTGCCAGATCCCAACCCTCTATCCTCACCTCATCTTAACTACCGGCAGCACACTGTTTGGTAATGGCTGCCACCCCTATCTCTCTACTTTTACTGGGCGCAAATCTGTCTCCTCCAGCACATGCACTCAGACTCATCGAGCAAAATCAGTGCCCGAACTAGGGCAGGGCATGATTTTGTAGCGTTGACTGGGCCTTGGCCTGCCTCAGGCTGCCACCCCTGAACAACTGAGATATTGTTGATCTGTGCAGCGAGGATTTGGTCCCAGTGAGTCCATGCCCTGGTCCCAACAAGTTTGTGCCTTGGTCCCAACGAGTCTTTGCCCTGACCGCAGACAGTTTGTTCCCTGGGGCCTTGTCCCAGCGAGTCTGTTCCCTGGTCCTACCACTTTGTGCCCTGGTTCCAGCCACTGCATCCATTCTTCCAGTCTGGAAGTTTCTAGAAACTTTGCTATCCCTTTAGATTGCGCGTCCGCATGTTAATGTGCTTCGGGGACTTCTGGGACTTTTAGGAAATCTTTGACAGACTCTTGGTCTACAGTGCCCGTGTTGGGGCTGACTGTTCACTTTCCTCAGGCCTGTGGCGACTTTCCGGGGCACCAAGTGTGCTTTTGAACCCCCTTTGTTGCCCCCTTGTACCTTGCCCAGTCCAGTTACCTGAGGGATATCTCAAACGGACGACTCCGGTCCCCCTAGAGAGCAATTTTTGACCCCATAACTTCTGGACCCTCGGCCTTATCCCAAACTTTAAGCCCTTTAACTCGTTTTCCTTGCATATTTGCTTACTTATTTGCTGACCTACCACCCTGCGCATCCTGCGCTTGGAAGACCCATGCAGGCCCAAGCCCGACTAGCAAAGGGAACAAGCAGAGGGATATCTCAGACTCCTGTTCCCATAAAGAGCAACTTTTGACCGTATAACTTTCGGACCCTCGGCCTAATCCCAAAGCCCTTTAACTCGTTTTTCTTGCAGCACTCAGCCTGATAGCACAGGACCAATTGACACATGGCACTCAATCGCGAGAGGGGAGAAAGGGTACAGTCGGCGACGATTCCCCACACTCACACGTTGTGCAGGAAATCGGCAAGGATCGGGGAGAACAAGGGGAAATCAACACACTCATGCATACAGGTAGATGTCTGATACACCAGCACTACCCACGCCTTTGTGCACCTTACACCCCCAACCTCATCCTACATCCATACATCTTGGACAGGGAAGCATTCAGCATCCATACACCCTCATAACTAGCATCATGCATGCGGCTGAGTATCCACACTTAGTCTACTTCACACACAACACTCGGAAAAATCAGCAATGTGAAAAAGAGCGAGTCCCTCGCCATTCAAAATTCCACAAGTCGGACTCTCTCAGGCATGACCCCCAACCAACCCGAACGTCAACCAACCATAGCCTTAAGGCCTTGCCGCTGGCTGTTCTATCTCCACCACCGCTCAATCCCTCTGATTGCACGTAACCTCAAGTCTACCGCTAACCCCACCTCATGTGGTCACTCCGACCATCACTTGGGCACGTCAAGCCTGTTCAACGCCGTGGTCTTCACGCATAGCTCGTGCAACATTGCAACCGAGATCAAATAGGAGAAGAGGAAGGGGCTGCGGGAATTTATAGCGCGGAAGGCGGCGGGGTGTGGATGAGCAGGACTGAGGGAGAGAGGGAGTTCCAGAAGGATCGAAGGAGGCAGGGCGATCGACATCTTTCGTTGAACTGGGGTGGTCGTCCAAGCCACGTGCACAAGTGCACTTTCACGACATTGATCCGACCATCCCAATCAACGACCAATTGACCGCCCCGAAAGGTAAGGGGAGGATCGGGCACAGAGTTAGGGGAAGACGAAAGGACATGCAAGGAGAAGCACTCGGCCGGGGAGGAAGATTGCACGCATGCGCAGAGCGGGAACCGAGCTTACGCGACATGCAAGAATTCAAAAATGGCCGCGCGCTCTTTAACACGAGAAAAAATTGTATGCTGAAAACCGTAATTCCTAACAGTTTCTTTGGACTTCTCTTCGCAGTTGATAACTGTCAGCAAGAAGAAATAATTTGAATGAGGACGGGGGCAATTTCGTAAGATGCATACCTTTAGTCCACCAAAAATAAAAAATGGACCCCGCTTTTCTTGATCAGCTAAGATCTGTGCTTTGGGGCTTACTTTGGATTTTATTCCGACAGGTAGGCGAAGCCGCAAAGTACGGATCCCAACTTATCACATGCTGGTTTGAGAACCTCCTTCTCCCCCGATCCCTTCCAGGGGGTTGAGAGTGTACTTCTACAAGGGATAGGGTTTGGACCATGGCCTGTGATGATGGTGTTGATTGGTTGGTACGCTGCGCCTCTGGGCCAGGGGAGCTTCGGCTTTCGGTCCGCCGTGTCATATTGCCATTGGAATCTGCATATCATCTTGCTGGAAGAGGGTGGTCTCTCTGCGTTGACCTGCATGGGCTATTGAGGTGACTACTCTGTCCTGAGGTGCTTATTCTATCGTGGCCATTTTGTTCTTTTTGACGATTGGTGTTTCGCCTGCATGATGTCTCGACAAGTGCTTTGGCTTTCTCACCTTTGGCGCTTGTTTACGGTCGATTTAGTGGCGAGGGCGTTTCACCTGCACGTCGTCTCCAACGAGAGCTTTGGCTTTCTCGCCTTTGGGGCTTGTTTATGGTTGATTTAGTGGCGAGATGTTGAGCTCTACGGGGGAGCTGCTTGGTTCCTTTTGGATTGCTTTTGCTTTCTTGTCGAGTTATTTCGTGCCAAAAGATGCGGAGGGATAAATGGATATGGTTACGAATGAGTGCTGATGCGCACACTCTTCTGCTTCGGTCTTTTGGGCCGAATGATTATGATTCATCTGTAGGCACACAAAAATAGATACTTTGGTTGATCGTCATGATGAGTGCATGTGTTGCATACTGTAACGTGCAGAACAGAACAAGAACTGACCTCTCAATACAAAGTACAAGATAACACAACGGAAGACTTAGATACGAATGATCCGAACAATCTATATTGCAATGCAGCCCTGAACATACAYCATCATCATCGTTACATGGTGTGAATGGGGTCTGGCGCTTCACACAGGAAGACTGCGCCAGCCCATA